CTTTAAGAGTCTCTCTTTTAGATGGAAGAAAGAATCCCCCCAAAACAAGAGCTCATGATCAGGGTGAGATGATGAAGGATCAAGAGACGGAAACATCCAGGAGAAGTACCGACGGTAAATTACAATGTTATGATATTTAATATCCTACATGAAAAAGTCACTTCATAATTTACACCTAAATGAGTAACAGGAACTGTTCTGCCCATCTAGGAGGGTTTTAATCAGACTAACCTCAAAAGTCTAAAAATGAGTAATATTATACTTTGTACTTTAAAAATCAATAGGTGAACAAATAGTAATTTACTTTAATATCAAAGAATCGCTGTTCCTAATAAATCAGGTTTTTTTTACCAGGACTGCTAGCTAACTTGTGCTGATATTCTCCTCTTCAAAAGTCTACAGTCCAACTCTAGATCTGTAGAGGTTATTGATCTGGAGGAACCTCCTGTCGATGATCCTGAAGTCCTTCCTGCTGCTGAGCCTCTGGTGCAAGAAGAGCTTCAAACTCCAGTCCACGACGCTCCAGTCCGTATGACAGCGGGTGAAACGTCTCCTCTCCGTAACCAAGTGAACATGAGACCTGAGGGTGAGTTTCCTGCAACAATAATCTCACAATATCTGCAAAGCACCACTAAACATCGTCTTCTTCTCTTCATCTTTTAACAGACGACATTTGCTGCCGATATGCAATTGGCCGTAACCCGTAAGCTGGGGAAAGGTGGATTTGGTGCCGTCTGGCACTCGTTTGGCGGATGGCCAGAAGCTTTAACTTTTTTTTTTTTTTTACTTACCTACTAGTTTAGCAAATTGTTTTTTTTTATCTGAATTAGTTCTCATCCTTTGATATCTCACTTTATCCTGTGCAAGACATCTTACAGTATCATATATTCACTATTAAGAGCTCTTCTTGACCTGTTAGGATTTAAATTCTTGCTTGGAATTTATGATATGATCTCTACACACAATAATTGCTTTTTGTTTTGTCCATCAGGTGGCAGTGAAATAATTTATTCGAAAGACAAAAGGCATGGAATGTATGATTGTGAGTAGGCCTATAGGCCTAAGTGGTTTTAATCAGCAGACCACCTGAGTTAAATCCCTATTTAAAACCAAGGGACGTGCAGAGAGTTCTTCAGGGGCAGGGGCTCAAATGTAAAAAAAGGGCATATATATATATATATATATATACTACTATATATATATATATATATAGTAGTATTATAAGTATAATAGTATATAAGTAGCCAACCGGCCAAAAGTTTGAACACTAAACTTTCAAGCATTTATTTGATCTGAAATACAGAAAAAAACAGTAATATTGTGAAATATTACTACAATTTGAAGTAATTGTTTTCTATTATAATATACTTATAACCTTTGATACTTTTTTCAGGATTCTTAGTTAAAAAAAGAACAGCATCTATTTAAAATATCAATATTTTGTATACACTACCGTTCAAAAGTTTGGGGTCAGTAATTTTCTTTCTTTGTTTGTTTTAAAGAAATTAATACTTTTATTTAGCAAGGATGTGCTAAATTGATTAAAAAAAGTGACAGTAAAGACGTTGTTCTATTTAACTTTTTATTCATCAATGAATCCTGAAAAAAGTTTTTTTTAAAACATTAAAATAGAAGTGTCCAAATATTTGACCAGTACTGTACTATTATACAGCTGCATAATTATCTATGCTAGCATAATTATGTTTACTGCATAATACACATCAATTTACATTGACAAAATACAAGTGACTTGAATATGCTAGTATTACTTACCATTAATGCTACTTTTGGTGCTGGTTTTGACAGTGCTTTGTAGTCAATTAACATCCATTGATTCAACGACGCAGATTCAGATCGCTTCATAAATGTAAATTCGTCTGTCCATGTAATTTTCAAACAATTTATGAATTACCTGAAAATTACGCTCCACTTCACATTGTCCAATGAAATTTGAACTTGTTGTGCCAGATGACGATTGGTCGGTGTATTATACATGACAAACCGGCTTCAATGAATTATGTAATATTTTAAAATATGTGATATGTTGATTTTTTATTGAATCCACACTCTAACGTTATCTTTAATCCTTAATCCTTTATACCTAAAAAAATTGCGGTCGACCCATATAGGCCGTTACTCACTGAAAGAAGCATATTTGGATGGAGAGCATCGGTTCCCGAGCAGACTGGAATACAGTTATACGTGTAAACCAGTGCATTTTCATTTTAAAACACATAACTTTTGCTACGGTTGCACCTGCCGTCCACAGAGTTTTCGACCCTCGAAAACGGAGACACCTCTCCCACCCCCCTTCCCCCCCCCCCCCCCCCCCCCCATCCCCCCCATCCATCATATCATATAATGTTTCTTTCTTCCAGCCTGATCATCCCAAACCCCTCTGACATTATCAAACTACTGGACTGGCCAGGACCCGGTCAATGGGCAGGACCAGCACGACTTCCACGTCATGGTCCTCGAGCGTTTCTTCTCGCACTGCATGGATGCGTTGTGAAAAGCAACGGGGGCAGCATTGAGGAGAAGTTTGCGCGGCACATCATGTGGTCGGCAACACTAGCCGCTGATGCGTGCTGTCGCCGTAGAGTTTATCATGGCGACATCAAATTAGAGAACCTGCTGATAAACGCTAAGAACCGCAACGTGACACTCATTGACTTTGGATGCGGCGATCTCCTGACAGAATCTGCCTTCACGCGATACTGTGGTGTGTATTAGTTCTCAAAACTTTAGTGAATCAGTTAACTCAACACTCGTATGCTGCTAATGCTGTGGTAGAGACAATTCTTTTACATGGCAAGTCACCAAAATGTATAAATTGGGGGAGAATCAGTGGGAAAGAGCCCGTCAAATGCAGCTGTCTCTGATTGATTGATAAACAAAACGAAAAGATTTTGTTCTTTGTTGTTGTTTTATTAGATTTTTGTCACGACTCAATATCGAGTCATTTTGATATGTCATTACGGGGCATAACAGGGCTAAAGCTGCACCGCTGTGAAAGGAGCATTACTTTTATTCTCCTCTAAACCACTAGATGGCACACAATTTCCAGCATAAAATATTATATTAATCATTTCATTTAATAAAATGTATCTATTGTTACTACTGTAATGCCATATTACATTTTTATAGGATCTCCTTCAAAGCTTCCAGATTCTATCATTTTTAAATATTTATTTTAATATATATTTATTAAACAAAAATACATTTCCTTTATTTATTTATTAAAATAAACAGAAAATAGTACAAACTTTGCTGAAGTGATAGTTTTGAAAAAGTTTTAGATATTATGCAAAACATATGACTTTAGCTAAAGTGTTTGTATCATTAATGGGGGCCTTTTGCCCCATCCTGGTGATTCTTTTACCTCCAGAGAGCAAGGCCCTCCTCGCCACCTCGCACATTTATGATTCACTTTAATCATTTATTTTCCAACAAATCTTTTGATCCATCAATGTTCAATTAAAACATAGGATTAGATATTTGTCTGCAATCATAACGAAAAGCACATGTTCTATTTAGCCCCATTATTACAATACATGTAATTTGTATTTTCTCGAAGAAAAAAAATCTTTCTATAATAATGTCGTAAAGTATACAGAACCCTGTCAAGATGATACTGTTATTAAAGGTTAATTAACAACTGTTAACGCCCTCATAATAGTTTTATGATAAGAATAATAATGTTATAATTCTAACTTTTTAATGTAAAAATAATGAATGTAAAATAGTCATTTTGTTGCAAAATGCTCCTCTCTAGAATTAATTTTTCTCGCTAAATACGGTTTATGGCCACTGAATGGCTTTTCTGAGGTAAATGTAACCTTACGTGACATTAACTTTCAAATAAAGGCAATAAGTTTTCAATTCTAGTCTTCATTCATCTTAACACCCAGTGTACCTATAAAAGAGGCTGCAGAGCATATTGAAATAGGCTAGAAAACTGACTGCTTACTCATGGCAGATAATTAAAGTAAAACAATTTACAAAGCTACATTAAGCCTTGAAGTCTAACCATCATCACATTTAGCATTACATGTTTCTGATTCAACAATTACACATTAAGAGAAGTGCATTTGCGGCCTCTCGTCAACGCAGTGAGAATATTAGAAAGGCGGCGTATCGTTGAAAACAAGCACTACCAAGACTGTTACATAACTTCTGAAAAACATGGACCTGGGTTGGTCCAGTTGCATAAGCAGACAAGTGTGAGAAGTCCTACTGAGATTGATGAATAGTCAGACCTCGGAGAATGTTCCACGTCTGGCATGCGATTCAGTAACGTGAATGTATCATCAGTTTCAAATGTTGAAAGACACTATGTACCCAGTAAATATAGGCTGATCTTCATTGAAGTTTCATGTGTTTTTGTTTCCATGATATTAGAAACAGGAAAGTGGATCTTAATGAAACTTGGTAACACTTTGCAATGCAAGGTCCCATTAGTTCAAGCGAATCCTCTGATTTTCAACCCTCATAATGTCTATATGTAAATGAACAATGTTTACTCTTTCTCTGTGTTATCTGAACTGAGAAATTTGTGTTTATTTGTCAGCAAAAGACTGCCGGATGATTGGTTTTAAAAACCTATTACTAAATGTTGAAATCAACATTAACCACTATTAATAAATGCATTAGAACTATTTATCATAGCTAGTTCAAGAAGTTAACTAATAACAAATGTAACCTTATTGTAAAGTGTTGCCGGGAAATTTTGAAATACTGACATTGAGTATTTTAATGTTTCTGTAAATTGGTTTTAAAAGGTAACATTATTATGGCTTTTTTGATTATTGATGATTTATGTTCAATAGTTTAACTTATTTGTAGAAGACAACCCAAATAACTTAATACACAAACCATGTTACTGTACATCAAATGCTATTGGAAATAATACCAGAATAAAATACAGGGTGAGATTCAAGTACAAAAGGGAGGGGAGATGAATTGTGCTTTTTTAAGAATCAAATATTCAACACTCAAACTGCTCTTTAAGCTTTTATGAATAACAAAATCTTTTCTTTTTTTTCTCCATGGCACAGCACTATTTTCATTAATATCACAAATATAGAAAGATGGCAAGTGTTCCGCCATCCCCAAATCTATTTTAAAAGTCAAACACTGAAAAATGGACAAAACACAAGTATTAAAAACCATAACATCATCTTTCCACTCTCTCCCGTACACATGAACATCATCACCATTGTGTCGAAACATCAACATTGGCACTTGCAGAACAATCAACTCAGATAGTGCTGAGCAAGTATGCGATCCCCATGAGGAAAACCATCCATATTAAATGGCACAACTAACAAGAAGGCACGTCAACTGCACATTAACTGGGGCTCTCCAGTCCACGTTACAGCATGCTTACAGCCTTACGCCAATGCCCAAGTCACTTTCTCAATAAACCACCTAACAGCTTTAGTGATCTAATGGAGAGCTAAGGCATTACAGGTCGTTTCCACTGACAAATCATGGTTTGATTCCAGTATTCTTTACTTGTTTTGATTAATATAAACACACAAATGGCATACTGTTATGAATTTAGAACTACACAGTATCAGACAAACTGATTTTGTAAATAAGACCACTTTGATATTGTCTGACAAAAATTTGCTACTAATTTTAAGGCCACATTGAAGGACCTCGCATTAGACACAATAAAGCATACTGTATACAACTCAAAAGGTGCATTAGCTTAACCTTCAGCGTGAAAACGGGCCGTGCGGCAACAGGTGCTGGGCCAATTTCCCTTTCTTACAATTGTTGCTTTGCGAAACTTGAATTTCAAGTGTGGCTGATTGCATCATGACTCTTTCATGTTTGATTTAGAAATAAAAATGGAGAAGAAAGAAAACATGATTTTTTTAGAAAAATAAAAGGGATAATGAATGCTTGTTTGAGAGTCCAATAAACTTGTCTAGATTAAAAAAAAGACAGCATATTATTCCATGTGATTGCCATTTATGGTTTTGTCCTCGCTTTGAGATCTTGAGGTAAACTCATTTAACACAGGGAATGAGGGAAGTTTAACTCAAGATATAAAGAAGAGGAAGTCATTTTCTTAAAACACAAATCTTCTCAAATCACCCACCGAAGAGGATAATCAACTTGATTCATTTTAACAGGGCTTCCCTCAACCATGAAAATGAAAGAGTTGCAAAGAAGGAAAGACATCTTTTGGTGAATCTCTCCGAAAACAAGCCTACGCCACATTTACCCCTGAAAGCAAATGGACAATAAATACAAAATAATATTTGCAGAAAGAAAACAGCCATATTATAGGACATTGTGAAATTATTTTCATGAGATTTAAAATGTTTTTTCCCTCATTATTGCCATGATGCATCTGGACATTTGACTTTTTGAAATCTTTCTTTTTTGTGATTTCCATTATCATTCACAATGGTGATTTTCATAACTGTAATAGAGTACTTTTAGCATAAACAAAAAGCATTGAAGGCAGTACAACAAATACAACCATAACATAAATACAATATAATTTAAATATATTATCATGTTTGTTTGTTTACACATTACAGTAAATATAAGTTTGCATTTTTTGCATCATGGCGGAAATTGGGGGGAATGTGCTTAGTTGTCAATATATTATCACAAACGGAAAAAAAGAAGAAAAAAAAATCCTTAAGCAAAATATCATTTCTTATTTCTATTATTTGACTTCAGGGTAAAATATGGTGTTGTCCGCTTTCCTGAGATTCACCCATTCGAGTGTTAAAACAATGAGCTTGTTATTTTATGCTTGTAATGGATAAAGCAGTCCTTCACAGTTCTGTCATTCGCCTTCTTTTCTCGATCAAACATCATGTGAATGGAATTCTGGGTAGGTGACGAGGACTGAGCTAGTGGCTGGTCCTGTTAGGGGGAAGCAGTGGTGTGCTCCGAGCCCAGCAGCCTCCCTGGCCCCATAGTGACAGCTGCCCCTAGTGTCCCGCTAGCTAGTAGTCCTCTGCTGCTTGAGCACAGTGTAGACATTATCCACTTTACTCAGTCTCTCGAAGAAAGGGATGAGATCCAGCAGCTCTGTGTCAGACATGTCATCAAACCAGGAGGCAACAGGTACCTAAACATGACAGAGAAGAGTATGTTAAAAAACAATATGAATGTTGGGACAAAGCGACAAACCATTGACTAATAAACTTTAGCAGGCTAAGCACTGTACTGACTATATCCTCAGACCCAAAGCAGTTATATGTGCAAAAGAACAAAGAAAGACAGTAACGTACAGCATTGTCTGGGTGGAAGATGTAGGAGGCTGGCGAGTTGTCCACAATGATGACTTTGTTGAGATCCCTGCCTAGACGGCTTAGGTCCTTGACATAATTTCCACGGTGGAACACACAAGATTCTCGGAAAAGACGGCTTCGGAAAGCTCCCCACTTGTCCAGCAGATCCGAGACAGGATCGGCATACTAGAAAAACAGAATCACGTTAATGTGATGGACACGGTTAGAGACAGAGGACGGAAAAAGACAAGGCTCACACCAATGAACCAATGACTACTCAAATTCCATGTCAAATTCGCGAGTAGGCTACTGGATAAAGAAATCGTCATTAATTTAAACAGTCCTATTTAATTAGATTTTGTTATTAAATTATATCTGGGTAGTAATTTATTATATGTAATCTGGATTACGTAATCAGATTATACCTTTTAAATGCAGTAAGATTCTGGATAAAACTAACTCTATATCACAAATCATATCGTTAACATCAACAATACATATAGTCACATTTAAAATGCGATATCTCGATATAACGAGATATATAGACACACACACGCATACATTATATTAATATATATTAGTGCTGTCAGCGTTAACGTGTGCAATTCATTTCAAAATCCTTCACGTTCTTTTGCAATTTATTTGCGTTAATGTTAAAGGAACACTCCGACTTTTTGAAACTTTAGCCTATTCACCTTATCCCCCAGAGTTAGATAAGTCCATACATACCTTTTTCATCTCCGTGCGTGCTGTAACTCTACCTGACGCACCCACCGCTAGCCTAGCTTAGCACAAAGACTGGATGCAAATGGTTGCAGCTAGCATACTAATCCAAATAAGTGACAAAATAGCGCAAACATTTTCCTATTTACATGTTGTGATTTGTATAGTCACAGAGTGTACAAAAAACGAAGTCACATGAGACACAGACATATTTTAACCGTATAAATACTGGGAACTATATTCTCTGAAGGCGAAGCACTGCTACTTGGGCGGAGTGATAACCGCAGCACCTGAGACGCGCTCTCTGCTCCTCACCACGGCTCGTCTCAGGTGCTGCGGTTATCACTCCGCCCAAGTAGCAGTGCTTCGCCTTCAGAGAATATAGTCGCCTTCAGAGAATATAGTTCCCAGTATTTATACGGTTAAAATATGTCTGTGTCTCATGTGACTTTGTTTTTTGTACACTATGTGACTATACAAATCACAACATGTAAATAGAAAAATGTTTGCGTTATTTTGTCACTTATTTGGATTAGTATGCTAGCTGCAACCATTTACATCCAGTCTTTGTGCTAAGCTAGGCTAGCGGTGGGTGCGTCAAACAGACTTATAGCACGCACGGAGATGAAAAAGGTATGTATGGACTTTTCTAACTCTGGGGGATAAGGTGAATAGGCTAAAGTCCCAAAAAGTCGGAGTGTTCCTTTAAGCTGCGTCATTAATGTAATTTACGTCACGCAGTTAGATGATCTTAGAAGTCGGGAGTTTATCACACTGAGCATCTACAAGCACCCGTAACCCTGGTAGGAGGACATTTCCATTCTAACCCTTTAACCGGATTCTGATTCTCTGTTTGAGATCAGACCATTTTAAGCAATTCAACTCTAGGAAAGTTTTCAGTGATCCAGTAATCGAATTTGTTCAACTCTGTCATATTCTGTGATTTGTTTCTGAAGAGCGCAATTTTGGTGACGTACAGTAAGTGTGTGAGAGTCTGTTATATTGATGCATAAACAACAAATCGTGTATGTGCGCTCTCGATCACTGATCACACACTGCATTTATGTACAGACACATTTCAGTACATTTGCGTTGTTTCCACACACACCAAGGATAATGTCTGACTTGTCATGTGCATGTTGCTGTGTTTAGTAGTCATAGGTTTATGCAGTCGAGTCAAGGTGGTTGATTTAGGAGTGTTTGGCCTCTCCATGTGGTCCTGTTCAGTATCGCAGCTTGACTGCTTGTTGTTACTCTGTCTGTACACATACTATACACTGTGAATTCTGTAAAGGTTTTTTTTTCTGTAATGTTTTTTTTTTTCATGGGTGCTTTGGTGTGCATAAAGTATTATATAATAGAAATGTATGGACTCCTTATATCATTTGGTTATTTGGTGTCTTTTTTGGAGTCTCCAAGGTGTCCTTGAAGCTTGCAGAAAATACAGTTTTGTGAGAATCGCCCTTCAATCTGATTGTTTACTTTGCTGGATATAGGAAATGATGACAAAATGAATGTGTTAAACAAGATAAATGGCTTATGCTTAATTTCACGATAAGTGTGCGATTAATCGCACAACAAAAGTGTGATTAAACCAATTTCTTTTTATTAATCGACTGACAGCATATATATATATATATATATATATGAATGAATATAAAAGTACAAATAAAAAATAAAAAGTACATGAATAATAAATCAATCAAAAATGGCTGTTGCTTTTTAATGACTTTTTAAGATTTGATTTTATTCACCAACTATCATGAAAACAGACACGATCTAAAAAAAAATCTGATGCAATGGCACGACTAAATAAATCTTATCTGAAAACAGACACCAAAGTCGGCACACACACAGCTATTTATCTTTTTACAGGTTTGAAAGTCCATTTTAAAATAACTGGATGTTTTCCATAACCGTGCGTACACTGTAACCATCTATAAAACTGATACAAACAGTAAGTGAGGTTAAATCCTATTTCTTATTAAATGCAATACTGAATACCTTGCATAGTGCAAAAATCCTTTTGCATGTCTTACCTTGGCTAAGCTTGCAGTGAATAACACACACTCGAACAGTTCCCCCATCCGTTTGAGGAACTCGTCAACATGAGGTCTCTTCAACACATACACCTACATTCAGAAGGCAGACAAAGGGGAAAAAATGGTTAAAATGTGTCATTACTTCAAAGTTTTAAATTCACAGCTAGGGAAAGCAACAGCATATGAGAAAAAATGGCACTAAACCAGGTCACATTCATAAAGTTACAGCTAAGATTTATTACTGAATAAATAAGATTTATATTAGCCTGCATCTGCATGATGCTTCATATAACGATGAGCTTTATGTGACCTTAGAACTATAAACCCAGTTTTAAGAGCAGCAATAAAACGGGTTGTTTTACTCCAACATCTAGGTCAGCCAAGCTTGTTTATGAAGCTTTTGGTCTCATTCCTGAACCAAGTCATCCCGAATAGGCTTTCCTGACATCCCAAGCCTATCCTGGATTACTTGAAACAGGCCTAAGCCTTGTTTGTCAGACACCTTCAGTCTCCTGGTGTAATGGGGTCGTTGGCCTTTAAAGGGCCAAAGCATCGTACTGTCATAGCTCGAGAGAGAGCAGGAGACTCGCTCTGAAGAGAGATTGATAGGGCCAATGACTTCTCAGAAGCCAGTCAGTGTTTCTCCATTTCGTCAGGACACAGAAATAGCCACCTGCTGCTCGGACCCATCAGCCGAGATGGCAACGATACTGTCAGGTTGCACACCCGTGTTAAGCGGCAATAGGTAAACAGAGGAGAAAACGCTCAACCAGAGCGAAAACATGTAAATACAGCAATTTGATCAAACACTAATCCATGGAACAACAGGGGCAGCAAAAGGGTTCTAGGGGGTCTGTTGAAAATGTAAAAAAAAAAAAAAAAAAAAAATCGACAATGTATTTTAAGGTTTGGAAAGATAACTATACAGCTGCTCTTGATCTTAAACAATATTTATCATGGAAATCATTGTACAAATAAATCTGTTGTGAAAAATATTCACAAAAATATTATTTTCAAGTATATACATCTAACAGTAACAGTGGTTAGCAAAAAAAAAAAAAAGATATAAAACATTTACCAGATAATATTTTAATAATTTACTTTGGCTTCAGTGCAATAATATATCACGTTTTTTCTCACACAGTATAAATGATATACATCTTTATATAATTTTTTCTTTAATCTATTAATAAACAATTATATTTTAGGAATCAGATTCTTCACAAGGGGATCATTATATTTTGAGGATCTTGGCATTGTGGTAATCAACACTTTTCATGATTGAAAAAGCGGTAATCATAATCTTTTTTCATTTCTTTTTTTTCTAGATTGATTGACGATTGGAAGGATATGCTATGTCATCAATCAGTTACCCATGGACAACCTCGCATGAGAACGGGTTATGCTCACCTGATGTACTGTCCCATCAATTTCCACTGGAATGATGAAGTCAGCATTGTTTACCGGCTGGGAAGAAAAGAGATTAAAATTTATTTAATTGTTGCAGGCAGAAGAAAATAAGATGAATCTATATTGAATTTGCAGGTGACTGAATCAATGACTGACATGATGTGTAAACATACATCAGGCTCCAGTCATTTTCAGAATATTGCCACAGACCCTAAGACTGGTCTTTAGATAGGTCTAGAAACTCAATCTCAAATGTTGAGATAATCACATTTATGTGTTATAGAGATGTCAGGACAGCGTGACCTACATTCACAGATGTGGCATGAAGTAACATTATGCTGTCTTGTGCTGTAGGATCACACTTGTTTTACTTCTGACTGACTTAAGAAATAGTTCACCCCAAACCATGAAAATTGCCATTATTTATTTACTCTCAAGTCATTCCAAACCGGTATGCTGTTCATTTTTAGTGGAACACGACTCTTTACAGTAAAAAAAAAAAAAGTGATATTACTTTTCAAAATAGTATCCTTTTGTGTTCCACATTGAAAAAAAACATAAGCATGCAGACTTGGAACAACATCGGGGTAAATACATTTTTTTTAATAAATAAAAATATTTTTAAATAAAATTACATTTTTGGAATGAACTGCTTCTTTACCAGTTAGCTTTCAAACTCCATTTGCAATAAAAAAAAAACCGCTTACATTTAAGGCCACATTTACACATAGGGGGGTATTCAGAGAAACGAATATTTCCCCCCCTCCGTTTTCAATAATAACATCGTGCACACAACATCGTTTTCAAAAAAGTTGTCATTTACATCGACCCGCATAAATACCTATGATCATAACTATGCCAAACTGGGCGCTCACATGACGTTAAGCATTTTCTGGCACATAATGTGACGTTTGAGAACCCAAAACCCCGTTTCTCCCAGTTGACACGGTAACACACATAACCGGCGTTATCAGAAATCTCCACTTTGGCCGGGGTTTTTAGAAATAATCGTTTTCTGTGATAAAAACTGGATTTTCGTGTAAACGAGAGGCCAAATCTGCGTCTTCCCTTCGTGTAAACGGGGCATAATACACTCAATACACCTAGTCCCTGTTTACACCTAGTATTAAAATGCGATGTCGTCGATCAGAACACAAGTTGACGACGCTAAATCGGTCAAATGTGTTTTTGACTACCTCTGGAAGTTGTCAAAGCTCAAAACGTTTTAGACCCCGTTTACACTTGTATTTAGCATCAAATGCATTTGAACAACCACAAAACACGCCTACTCTTCGCCTACGGACCTAATGCAAAAACAATTATGGGAAGCACGCTAGCCAGACAGGATTGACTGTTGCGCATGCTTATTTCATCCATTAGATCGAAAGATCTGAAAAAGCCCACCTATAGACCCTCATCACAAAGAAATCAGGACAGAATGGTCAAAAGCAGACCAAAAAAAAACCTGATTAAAACACCAGGTTTGAACTGGAATGCAAGAACAGACTGAACTAATACTGGAGGTGTTTTACCTCTATGCTTCCATATGAGGCAACCATGAGTTTACAGTAGAGACAGAAATTTGTCACTTAAAAATAGGAATGTAAAACAGCAAAAGATGTGCATTAAAGCATTCTGTACCACCACTACTATCACCAATTGGTATTTGAAAAGCAATATGTACTATATAGACTAAAACAGGTTTTATAAACCCTCCCAGTAGTCTCAAACTAAAAGTATATCGGGACCTATAGCATCACAGAGCCACAGTGTTTACACTTCAGGAAAATCAACTTCCTAAAAGGCTTACTTACAGCTGTCTAAGCATATTAAAAGAACAGATCACTCAAAAATGGAAATTCTGTCATCATTTACTCACCGTCATATTGTTCAAAATCTGTACATTTTTCTTCTGCAGAGCATACATTTTGAACAATGTTTTAAGGGTTTTTGCCCTATAAAGAAGGTCACTAGCAGCCAAAACAACACTGGACCTCACTGACTATCATTGTACAGACAAAAAACACTGAAACATTTCAAAACATTTTTGTTTGTATTTTACAAAAGAAATAAGTCATACCATTTTTGAATGACATGAGGGCGAGTAAATGATGACAGTGATTTTTCTTTTTTGGGTGAACTCTCTCTTTATGCTCAGACAGGAGAAAACATTTTTAACACACTTCAGCTTTAAGGTCTGTGATGATGTGAATGCACGCAATGGTGTTAAATGTCCATCTATAATATTGAGTCAAGAGTATCTCATAGCCATGATATGATTAGTTGAGCTGCCAACAACATATAGTTTCTTCACACCCACTGCCAGATATAAACTGATGAAAAAAGAGGGCTCAACACATCAGCTTACCTTGAATGAACTGTGGACTAGTGTTTCATCCAGATCAATGACTACACAGATCTTCCCAGCATCTTTAGACTTTATCTGTGGAAGAAGTGGCTTGGCCGGGACCTGTAATTGACATTTCAAGGACACTGGTAAATAAGTAGCCAAGTTGGAATTTACAACAAGAAGCTATTTTACAGTAAAAATACAGTATAGGTCAGTGTTTCACTACCGGTGGGTCGCAGCTCAAAAGTAGGTGTAAATAAAAAGTCTCTCCTCTCGGTATGTATTGTATGATGGACAGTAAAGTGAGTCAACTGGTAGATTTTATTTGATATTCTATACGTTTATATGGGAAGCTATATGTAGACAGTCACATGGAAAAATGTAAGACACTGAGTGTGACGTGTCCAGAATTTAAAGACGGAATTATGTTTTATAACACTAGTTTAGCCGTTTAAATCTTTCATTTTAACCCGGGTATTATACAATGTCAAACTTATCTTTCATTTGTTGTTAAAATAAGAAATAATAATTTGTAAAATATTTAATTCACTGGACTGTAAATAAAAATTATAATAATTAAATTATTTAATATATATAAACAATTATTTTTCCCTATTGTATTTCCAGGGGGGGGGGGGATCTATAATATATACAGTACTGTTCTAAAGTTTGGGGTAAAGTTTTAAAAGTAGTATCTTATGATTTTTCTAATTTGATTGAAAATACAGTAATACTGTGAAATATTATTACATTCTAAAATAACTGTTTTCTATTTTAATATATTTTAAAATGTAATTTATTCCTATGTTAGCAAAGCTGAATTTTTAGTCTTCAGTGTCACATGAACCTTCAGAAATTATTCTTCTGTTTAATTATTTTGTCCTTGCTGAAATCAAATTCGTATTGATCCAAAATATCTGAATGGTAAAATTAACAAAATGCAAATACACCATGATAAGATTTTGGTCATACAGCCCATCCCGAACTGGGTGTATTAGTTATAGACATGAGTATCCAAAAGGGGGCATAAGGTAGCTCTTTTAGCAGTAGCATTCCATAAGCAGAGGAAGATCAAGTGACTGACTGCAGCTGGGGTGGAATTGCAAAGCTGCTCACAGTGCACACACAGTCTGAAACCGTCTCTCTGTCCTATGCTTACAGAATGAGTATCTCAAGACCTGCGTGGCCTTCCGGATTCATTACAAGTGGGAGAGTGTACAGATGACTCTGATTTAAATAACATAACATATGACATAGAATAAGAACCCAGCATGGGGTCTTATTTTAGTTCTGTTGCTACTGACTTCATACTAATTAAAATTCAAATACATTCCTTCACAAGCAAAATATAAGATATTGATGCTTTTTAAAACATGCTTTCAACTCCTAAAATCAATCAACAAGTGCCTCTCCTAAGAAAAAGGTACCTGATCTATGGGCGGAACACAGATTTCACAATCACAGTCCTCTGGGTACTCTTCATCTTCAGATACATCACTGTCGTCATAAGAATCACTCTGTTCACTTGACCTTTTTTGGTCAGACTTAAAAAATGTGTCTTGTTCAGGTGCCTCACTTCTAGCAACTTGATGTATAAGTTCCTCTAATTTTTCATTTTGCTTGTTCTCCTCAGGCAGATCATCTGTTCCAGGAGGATGAAGGAGCCCAGAGGTGTCTTTTGTCTTGGTATGGGCCTCTTGCTGACCATCTGATAAACAAAAAGAGTCTGTCTCTGTTTTTGACTGTTCCTCAAAGGCACAAGAGAGCAGTTGATCCGCAGTTGGTGTCTCTTTACCTTTGTCACTTTCCTCAGAACATCTCACAAGATCTTCAAAATTAAACAGGGCTGTTTCTTCATCTTCAGTTGTTTCAATCTCTCCACAACAAGGTCCATGATCCCCCTCATTTTCAAAGTCAGTGTGCGTCTCTTCATTTTCATCAATTTCAACCACAGAACTGAGATCTTGTTTGATTTCCTTGTTCTCAGAGCTGTAGATCCCAGTTAAATTCTGACTGTCCTCATTTTCCAACAATTCTTCTTCAGGAGATTCTGAAGGATCAACTTCTTGAAATGTGTTCTTTACAGCACAGGACCCTGTGACATCTCCAGATATATTGTTGAAAGCATTTTCAACCACTTCTTCCAGTTCATAACCTTCAACGGCTGCAACACAGGACACTTGTACATGCATATCAACATGGGGTTCAGCGACCTCTCCATTTATGTCGCAAAGATCATTGCCCTTGCCCTCAGAATACAATGTGAGACTCTCGTCAATAAAATCAGGCCCATAAGCATCAGTTCCACAGACCTCATCTGGTTTGGCACATTCATGGATTTGAACTGGATCAACAGGGAGTCCAACAGCTAATGCTTCAGCATATGTTTTACTGCTTTCCTTTCCTGTCACTTGTCGCACAGAATCAATCTCACACGCTTCTTCACAAGCATCTACATTTTCCTGTGTATACATGTTAAAGTTCTTATTACCTTCTTCATGGTACTCATCTGGCTGTAGTATATGAATTGAGGACTCATCATCCTCTGCAAGAAGGTTTTCCTTATCACATGCTTGATCTGAGAAGATTTCAAATGATTCAGACTCATCAACAAAACTTTTGAATGATTCATCCGTTTCAGAGCTACTTTGACTTTTAGCATCCATGTAGTCGCAGTACTCCTCTTCGCTTGATTCATCTGAAGAACCTGATCCTGTGGTCACTGCATCGAGGGAGTTGTCCACATTTGAGTGTAGTTCAAAAGTTGTCTCCTCATCATCACCACCAAGTTGAAAAGGTTGAAGAGTTTCATCATTACAACATTTCCCTTTCTCCAGCTCTTCACACTTTCTACAGAGCTTCCTACAGTTATCTAAAGCTTGAACTTCAGGTTTAGGATCTACAACTTCAGGTTTTTCTACCTCTCCATTTGCCTCACTAATTTCAGCAGCAATACTTGAAGTCTCCTTATTATGCCTCAAAAGATCAGTAAGAAATTGAGAAAGCCAGCGAGCCTCAAAAGTTTCCATTGATCCAGAAAACATGGCATCGCACTCAGATGGTTTCCTACCCTCAGTTCTGCTGCTATGATTAGGCAAATTCTCTTTGGTTTTTGCTTCAGGTTTGTGAAAGACAGAGTCGTGTGTTCCTGACAACTTTGGGCAACTTTCTGCAAGTCTGCTTTGATATGGGCCCTCAGAATGATCAGTGGGCACAGAGGGAGTGCATTGTTCAAGGATGTCACATTTTTCAAAGTGCATTCCACAGCTTGTGCATTGTTCTAAAGCCTTAAAAGATACAGAGGATTCGCTGTGCTCAAAGAGTTGGTTACAGTCTTGATATCCTTCAGTCGAGGAGGTCAGGCTACAATTAAAAGTCTCCGACAAACAAGTGCAATCATCTAGACCGTTTAGCAGAAATCTGTCATCAGAGGTGTCCATTTGCCCAGTAAGCTGTGTGTGCTCAAGGGACAAACAGTGGTCAGATGGCTTACTTTCTTTAGAGTCTTGACACAGTTCAGGGGATTTAAAATGTGTGGCATGGTATTCATTAAGCTTGTTTTGATTGTTAGGCTCGGACTGTTTAGATGTCTCGCAGTCTTCAGAATCTAGTTCAACTACATCATTTTGATCAGATAAGTTATCTTCAGAACTGCTGTTTTCACACTTGCTGTACTGTTCCTGATATTCTGCGCCACATTCAGAAAGCATTTCATAATCTAAGAGATCAAATTGTGAGGATTCAACATCAACTTGTGTAAAAGAACCACAAAGATCTACCTCTAAAGATCTACTAGTTAACTGTTCTGCATCATCTTGCTGAAAAGACTCAGAATCATCTAGGCTCATCTCGGGTGAAATGATTTCTTCTGCATCATCTTGTTGAAAAGACTCACAAAGATCTGGGCTCATCTTAAATGAGTTTAACTGTTCTGCCTCATGTTGTTCAAAAGAGTCATAATCATCTTGTTGAGAAGACTCACAAAGATCTGGGCTCATCTCAAATGAGTTGAACTGTTCTGCCTCATGTTGTTCAAAAGACTCATAATCATCTTGTTGAGAAGACTCACAAAGATCTGGGCTCATCTCAAATGAGTTTAACTGTTCTGCCTCATGTTGTTCAAAAGACTCATAATCATCTTCTTGAGAAGACTCACAAAGATCTGGGCTCATCTCAAATGAGTTTAACTTTTCTGCATCATGTTGTTCAAAAGAGTCACAATCATCTAATTTCATCTCAGTTAAAATTATCTGTACTGCATCGTCTTGCTGAAAAGACTCACAATCTTCTAGGCTCATCTCAGACAAAGTTAACTGTTCTGCATCGTGTTCAGAAAACTCACTTTGATCACTTGGCACAAATGCAATACAAAGTTCATCATTTTGGCATATTTCAACCAAGTCAACTGAAGAACTGCTTGTTTCAAAACACTCACTGTGCTCAGAGCAGCTGTCCAACAAAGAGCTATATCCAGACGAACCAGACTGATCTGAAAATTCACCATTGATTTGACTATTTTCAATGCAAAGTCTATTTGCTTCATTCAGTTCGATGGCGTTTTGGCCAATAGATGTTTCTCGTTCTGTGCACAATTGTGCAGAATGTTCCAAAGACTGATTTTCCTTTTTAGGATCTCCTTGTCCAGAGACCTCCGAATGGCCAAAGCACAGTTCAGCAGGCATGTTTACTTCTGTGTGCTCACTTTTAAAAAAGGAAGATGATTCCAAGTATTTGGTAATGTTGCTTTCGACAAAAGACATCCGTTCTCCAAAACACTGGCAAAGCTCAGAAGAAGGGAAACACTTCAGACATTCTCCCATATGTTTGCTTTCTCCAGAAAGCCTGCAAGAACAGTCAGAGATCTTCGTTTGCAAAGGGGGCTTACAAGGCTGAAGGGATTCGTTGAGCCCACAGCCTGCCTGAGACACCAGCAGCAATGTGCACGTTGACATGACAGAGGGGTTGAGACTCCACTGAACCCTGCACTCAGCCCGCCTTCAGGACACCTACCGATTTATTTTGGTGCTTCAGAGACGTGACAAATAACCCCTGGTGTATCAAATCACTATAAAAAGCTGAAGTAAGGCATAAATCTGAACCTGACACCTACAGCGTCTTGACACCCGATCTGCTCGTAGTTGTTCGCGGCCATGTTTTTTTCTTCTTCCCTGACTAATTAGTTTAATGAAATCATGAGTGGAAAATGTTTTGACATCTCTTCATATCACCTTTCAATTAGTTGGGAATTTTAAGGACAGATAGCTTTTCTTTTTAGTAAATAAACTAACAGCATTCATTTAGGGGATTTAGGGTCTCTACATGAATGCAAATTAGATAAATTCTTATTATGGTACATTCAACTATGAGAGCCTCCTCGTAAACAGGAAAAGAATTGCGCAAAAGCTAACATGAGGTTTTGGTTTCCTCACTATCACAGCTGATCATGTGGCTCTCGCCTGTGTTAACCACGGGCTGGCCAGTATTCAGAAAACGCTAGAGAGTACAGGGTGGGGATGCAGAGGGACGTCAAAATAAGAAGTTGTAGAAGAAAATAACAAAACTGAAATAAACTCTTACTTTTGAGATGGTTCCATTCTCTTCCACCAGCAGCGGGGCGTTGTTATTGACGGGCACGTGATCCGTTTCGTCATGACAAAGGCAGCAGAAGAGACTGTGGAAAATGCCACGACTGCGGTGTTTCTTCGTTGAGGATGCAGCATGTGGAGGGGTACCTGGGAAACGAGAAGCACATCATATCATACCAACAGTTACCCTGCTGTTCACCATCATATATCTTTGCATACATGATACACTTCCGACAGCTTATGCTCGTTATAAGATGAATGTACTCAAATGCACATATAAATGACCAGTAATGACTGGTCTTAAATAACATATCTAAACAGCTGATTGCCAGCATCAGAATTTAACAACAAAACAAAAGGAAACCTTGAAACAAAAACTGTGAGGGCACAGAAACACTGAGTTCTTAACCTTGAAATTAAATTACCAATGATGCATCTTAGTAATTTGACAGAAAATAGACTCTACCCTGCATTAAGGCCAAATCCAAAGCATATGCCAAAAGTCACATGTTAAAATATTGATTAAGACAAGCAGGATACTTACATTGTAGTAAAATGTTTCACTGAAAGCCTTAGCATATTTGGTGTTTTAACTGTATAGAATGAAACGGCGTCTATGAATTTCTAAAAGGGTGGAGTGAAGGTTTTATTAATAGGAAACACATGGATGTCCCACCCATGAGTTCCCCGAAACTTACTCCATACCCTGAGCTTCAACATACGACATACAACAACAATGCTTTTTAGTCTGGCATGGTTTGAGGAAAAACTGGGGGGGAAAGGATGTCAAACTGCTTTTTGCATACTTGTTCAGCACCACTAATAAAAATATTACTATTAAAAAAAGACTATTAACTCTATAGTTAACTGTAAAACTGCTCTGGCACAAAATGTTTTGTAAAAAGTTAAGTAAAAAGATTTTTGGAATAGAAAAAAAAGAAGAGCATTTCAAAAAGAAAATCCTTTGCAAAGGAGATCATGATATTCAGGGTCCTCTGGCATCAAATAGTTTAAAATTCAGTGTTAAGAGTACTCAAAAAACGAAATTATTCTAAATCCCCATGTCTACTGTTTGCTAATAAGCAAGATATTTGTCACCAAATACAGCAGACAGAGACATAGTATCCATGAATAGTGACACATTACAGGGAATCCACGTGATTATGGATCTATGTTGGGCTCTGGGCAAGAGCACAGCCCTGGGCAACTTACAAGAGCGAACAACAGCGACGAAAGCTGGACTTTGCGAGACAAAATCTTTGACAAATTAGGCTGTGGCCAAGACGGCCGAGGCAGCTGTCAACAGGGAGGATAAGCATGCCGTTCAAAATTCAAACTTAAATCTCATGTATCAAACGAAGCCATTATAAACAAGTTAGTTGGATATTGTACTTTCATTCAGTTACTTTAATAGCATTATTGTAATGGTAAAGGAAAGTAATCAGAAACTGAAGGTTTTGTATTAAATTTAGATTAGCCTATTAGATTTATTTCCATTCTGATGTGTCCTTCAACATAAAAGTTGCCCTTCAAACCAAACTTAACCCAAAGAATATATATATATATATCCCATGAGCTGCCGACCCATCATCAGGACATAAAATACGTCTCTTGACCTTCAAACATAAAATGTACATTGACTTGTCAATTGTAGCTCACACGCTAACCGTGCATATGACCCTTTTGAAATATCCAGACAATCTGACAGGTCGTAATAGTGAAACATTGCTAAGTGAGCACACCTGCATCCCGGCACAGGACACGAGTGTGGCGGCGGGTCTACAAATGTGAGGAAAAGGGCCGGTGAAAGGGACTGTGAAGAAAACCACATCCATCTCTTCATGTTGACTCCTCTGATATTACACGGGCAGCTGTTGACAGTGGTTAGAGATGGCATTCTACATACATACAAAACTTTGTTGTGTTCCCGGAGCGGGACAGGAGGGAATGGCTCAGCCATATGTTTATCTCATGCCGTACATATGATACCTTGATGGACACCATGATGAAAGGCAGAAAAGCTGTAACCTATTAGCTTGGAGCAACAAACTTGAACTTGTAAACAGAAAAAGATCAAACAGAGACTAGCTAGCAGAGACAATTCTAAGGAAAACTTGACTCCTTGGCATTCTGTAATGAGCCAGAGGGCTGAATACATTTGAAATCTCAAGAGCTGATAATAGGGCTACAGCTTTTTTACTCTACCCATATCAGTTGCTACCCACATACTTAAGGGTGGATTATCTAGGTCTCTTTTAAAGAGGGTCTTCATGTTATTCCAATCCCGACGGACAGAGGCCACTCAGCGACTGACTTTACAACCGTGACATGTGATCCTACGTTACAATCTCCCAACTTGTTACACATCACCCCTTATAGGAGAAGGACAGCGGATTTGGGTGACATTGCACATATTTTACACAAGTATAATGAAGAGCTCTAGACTAACTTATGAAAGTGTAATATATTGGTGCCACCAATTACTACAAATTGTACAGGGAGGTAGTAGGGCTGCACGATTTCTGCTTCTCTCGAGTAATTCAAAATAAATCACAATATTTTCCCCGCTGATTATTTGTCCTGAAAAAGCCTTTATCTTGCATTGGTAACAAGCCAATTGTTTTACCCCTTTTTTGCTTAAAATGTACAGCATAAGTAACGTATATACATTCACTATATTTTTTTTCATAGGTTTAATATTACACATTGTTTGGAGGACAGCCTTGGGCAGAATGTGAAATAATTCGGGGGGGGGGGGGTGATAATCTGCAGATTAATCGATTGTCTTTTGTAACAAATCGTCACTTTTGATTTATTTAATGCATTCTTGCTGAATATATAAATATATACACAGTATCTAACGAAAGTGAGTACACCCCTCACATTTCAGCAAACATTTTAGTATATCTTCAAGGGACAATACTATAGAAATGAAACTTATATCCAAGTTATATATTTTAGAGAAGTCAATTGTATAGCAGTATATATTTACTGTCCTCTGAAAATAACTCAACATACAGCCATTATTGTCAAAATAGCTGGCAACAAAAGTGAGTACACCCTAAGTAATAATAGCCATGCGTCGTTTAACCATGCAAAGCCACATGTCCTATTCATAATTTTCATGTTTTTGTCTGCTTGACAGGACCATACAAATTTGTGTATCTTATATTAGAGCAGTTACAATGTGTG